ATGATAGATAGGGTAAAAAAAATGGCATCATAAACTTAATAAGTAAATTATTTGTTAAAGTCTTAATCCTCTTTTGTTCAGGAACTCTAGGTGATTGAAGTCTGTAGCATTCCATCTTCCCTTTTCCCCCAGAACAACAGTCCTGCAAAGTAGGCTGGGCTGAGAGAGAGCGGCTGGCCTGAAGTCCCCCAGGGAGCTTCTGTGGCTGAGGAGAGATTTGAACCTGGGTCTCCCAGCTGCCAGCTCAACACCTTCCCCACTACACCGCAACTTTTAGCATGATGTAAAAGAGTGTTTTCCGAATTAAAGCTACCGTGTGTTAATTGCAGGAAGTGTAGAGGGTGGGAAGTTAAAAAGCAATTTAGCTTTTTAATCCGCCCACAAAATGGCATTAGGAAAAAAAAGAAACTTGGGTGTCTGGATGAGGACAACTTTTTAAACAAATCAAGAAAACAGAGCAGTGACTAAAAATAGAGAGCTGGAAAGAAAGAAAGGAAGTGAAAGAGAAGTGAAAACAGCAAAGGAGAAGAAGGAGAAGAAATTTAGAAGTATACGGGACACACGTAATCTTAAGCATTGGTATTTCTGTTGCAAAAGGCTTTTGCAGAGAAAATCTGTTAGGAGAAATTTCGTAAATGTAGCGATGAAATGGTGACCACAGTTGAATTCTCTTTTATTGTTGCATTAACATTTCAAACAGGTCATGAGAACTTTTAAGATGGGCAGAGGATTTGTAACCAGGAGCAAACCGTACACAGTTACTGGACATTCCCTAATGCCACTAATCCAAATAATTGTTTTTGCGTCTTGGAGGGGTGTCTTATGTGTGATTTGGGCAGAAATCGCAACAATTCTTCGAAACACTCCATTATCGGTGGCCTTTTTTCTCTCTCTCTGGGGATGACATCAATTCCTGAACTTTTAATTCCCAAGGCTGCTGTTGAAAAATGCAGTTCTGCAAAAGTGTTGGAATCGTCCCCTGTTTTCCAAAAGGCCTTTCCTTCGGGAATGTCTGATGCTCAGCTGGGTGCTGAAACTGGGTGCTGAAATCATTGAGTCTGTGGGAAAAAAGGCCCTTAACTGCAAATGAAAAAGGAAGTTACGTAGCATCTCTTAGTGGCAGGCAATAGCTTGTAAATCGACTTCCCCTCTGCCAGTGAAAGACAGGGTGGAAAAAAACTTAGAATTTTGGTTTGATTCGTGCAGTTAAGGCCGTCAAAATAATATGGCTTGTTGCACGACTCCTCCCAAAATTCAGCATTTTTGCCAGTAGTTCTGGGTGCAAGCTAAGTGGAAATAAATGAATTAAAAGGCACTGGCAGCTGAGAGCGGGGTTAAGTGAACATTTACTACCCGTGGTGGCATTTTTGCACTCGTGTTGTGGGCACCCTCTTAAAATGGCGGCCAAGATAGAGGGGCCAGTCACAAAGCTCCCGCTTATATCAAAAGACAGTCTTGTAAGGTTGGCCCCGGGGACTCCTTTGGGCCCCAAACAACTATAACAATCTTCTTTGAACTCCCCAGTATTTTAGGACGCAGCCAAAAAGGGATCGTGGAGAATTGTTGCATTCCTTTTTTGTACCACGGTTTCCGTTCCTCTCCGCGCTTGCATTTCACAACTAACTGCAATGTATTTTGTGAAGCGGTTTCATCCTGTCATCCCAAAGGCCCGTGGCTTTTGCTGGAGTCTCTCCAACCCTCAGGGTTCCCCCTTTCAAAACTAGAATATTCCTGGGGAATGTCTTAAGAAGATCAAGGGCTGGGGCATGAATTAAAGTCAGTGCTAGAAACATCCTACCTGGGAAGCCAGACCGAATTTTGTCCACATTTTGAAAACTGCTCCTTCTAATGTGAATTTTCCTGATTGAGCATGGGGTAAGAATCAATTGCAGGGCTGCTTACTAAAATGCCTCCTGTCTAGCCTAGTAGAGGAATTAATTAAAGCATTTATTTCCCAATAATTTCCGTCAGGGTGGCCTCCGATAGGAGCACATGCCGTACAGGTTTGCTGAATGATGGTATATCCCGTAAGGCCTGCAAACCCAGCAGTTCGGATCGCTTTAGTAAAGCTGGATTGATTGGCACTAAAACATGCGCTGTGATCTTATGCTCTCGGCTTGACCGTGATAATACATAAGAGGGTGCAGGGCTCCGGTTCCAAAGTTGAAAAGATGCTTTGAGGGGCACGGAGGTGCTTGTTGGCACCTCCTTAAGAAAGGTGCGGTTTTTCCTGGGCTCACAGGGCAGCCATGCGTTCTCGGGAAATTCAGCTTTTGAGTTAAGGAAATGCGCACGGCGTGCCAGTGGCCTGTTGGGGCTTCCTTAACTGAAATGTGTCTCTATCTGGGCTCATATTTTGCACCCAAAGCAGGTCTTGTTCCTCGTCCGTCTGTCCTTCCTTCCTTCCTTCCTTCCTCCCTTCTTCCTTCCTTCCTTCCTTCCTTCCTTCCTTCCTTCCTTCTTCCCTCCCTCCCTCCCTCCGTCTTTCTGTCCTTCTGTCTTTCCTGCTTGCTTGCTTGCTGCTCACTCCGTCCTTCCTTCCTTCCTTCCTTCCTTCCTTCCTTCCTTCCTTCCTTCCTTCCTTCCTTCCTTCCTCTGAAAGCATTTGTATGGCTGCCCAGATCGAACCACGCAACTCTGAGCAGCGTAAACCAATAAGCAAAGATGTTGAAAGCAAAATAAATAATCGCAAACGAAAACAGACGGGCACCATCAGCAGCCAATTAGTTCCTCTACTACAAATAGCCTCAGCCAAGGATGGTGCATTAGCCAGATAATGCCTGCCTCATGGTCTTCAGATCAGGGGAGACAAATCCCGATTGAGGCATTTATGTAGTCAAGAAAAGCCATCCGAAATCCACTGACCGACCCTCGTGTTTCTGAGAACATCCTGGTACGGGCATTTCTGCACTGGGTCCCTTCCCCTCGGTCACACGTGTCCGTGTGGGGCAATGCTTGTGACAGCTGCTAAAAATGATCACGGTTATGTGTGGCATGGAATGTACCTAAGAAAAATAATTGCTTTTTCTGATGTGCGGAGTCTTTGAACCAGCATCTTCCACAAAAACACGTGGATGTGGACTCCGAGGGGCAGGGGTGTTGAGCTCCGTGCCTCTGCCCTGTCAGATCTGTGGGCAGCCAACCCGAAGGCCCAGCCAGAGCAGAACTTTTCCAGATCCCTAAATTTAAATCGAAATACCCCAAGAGGAACAGAGAAAAGGGATGTAGGTAAAATCAGAAAGAATGAAAGCTTTGAACAGGAAGTTGCTGGAGAAGGAAGGAACTAATAACCGTGACAGTGAAAGGGAAACTGAGGCACCCAGGCAGCTAACAGCCCTGGCCGGGCACGTGCTGGAAATAGCAGCCAGATACGAAACAGGGTTACGGAGCCGTATAGGTTTGATCTTCACCTGGAGAGGCTGAAGTCAAGGCAGGTAAATGAGATAGGGGTGCTTGCCGGAAATCCTGCAGCTCTGCCAGCCAGCGATGCAGAATGTTGGCACGTGGACAAGGATGGCCTTGCACCAATGCCACCATTCATATTTGCATTCAGGGCTGGATTTAGACCCAGCGAGGCCCTAAACCACGGACGTGGATACAGGAGGGCTTAATTTATGGAGGCTTTCTTATTTGGCATTATCGTAAAACTGTAATAAATGAAAACCTATCTGAAACGGTGAACACTTTGCT